ATACCGTTCATGTCAAGATACAGGTTGTCGAGCTCCTCGCCATTCGGATTAGGCCCGGTTACGTCGACGGGGATTTCTGATCCATCATCCATCTTGACGGGTTGCTCCTCGATGACTGGGGAGATGATCTTGGGGTACTTGTTTGACAGCCATCGGAAAGCCGCCGGGATACCCATCTTGAATAATGTTCAGATACACGAAGTATCTGCAATAAGGCGGGTTTAGAGCTTATGGATTGATTTCGGGGCGATGGTCGTCGCGCAAAGGGTGACGAGAGCAGGTAGCTCTCGTGTCGCAGAAAAAGATTATATTGAGAAGACTGTGACGCATGGATGCTGGAGCTTGGCCGTAAACCGAGTGAGGGAGAGAAAAGTTGTTATGCTGTAGCATGCGATGGTTCGGAGTCGCGGAATCGAGATGGAAGACGAATGTGGTGCAGTAATTGGAATGAAAATTCGAGACTCCCTGGCGCAAGAGACAAAAGCGCGCCTACTATGGGTTTGTGCTGCATCAATTTCTCTCCGACGTGGAAAGAGACAAGGTACTGTAATGCATTCGGACAGGGTGCCGTTGCGCAAACAATGAACACAGGCTTTGGGAGGGTCATGGTCGGGTGTGATACCTTAAATTCAAGGTCATTACTAAGGTAGGTTCTCAGTCTGAGGTTTCTGGGCGAGCATCACTTTTGCGGTTGCCGCCGAGGTACGTAGGTACATCCGCACGGTGGATACCTCAGGTATATAGGGACCTCACCTAAGGTACCTCAGTACTACCCGCGACTCCTGACTAACTCGAGCTCCCCCGAGGGTTATGGCTAGATACGTAACGCGATGTTCTGCTGCTTCGATATTCCCGATACTTCGCTAAGCAGTCTTCTGCTATTCCAGTGACGAGAGCATGTGATTGTATTATTGCATATAAGCAGTATATCTTTGTATCAATTCAATGAGCTCCCAAAGTACACCTTTCGTAAACATTCCTCATACGTGCTTGTAGATGTAGAAAGTGCTAGGCTTCTTGTCGCGCGACGAAATAAAGCTCTCCACAACAGCAGCCCAACCTGGTTGTCCCAATGCTTCGTTCTACTTCTACATGACCCATCTGTCTACAGCTTGTTGTCTCTAACGTTGCACTTCTCTCTTCTTCCTCATCGTCTGTCTTAGCTCCCGATGGCCGGCACCTAAAACGACAGCATGTTTTCTATTTCCACTGCACCGGCGAAGCAGTCGGTCGGTGAGACTATCACTGTCCTGAGCGGTCGGCTGAGCTCAGCCACGCTTCTTGAAGATCGTCGTGCTGCTATACTCGGCTTGCGCAGCTTCGCAAAGGACTTCCCTGCCTCTGTCGCCTCTGGAGCTCTTCGCAGTCTGATAGGCAGCCTGAGCAAAGATGCCGAAGATGTCGACACTGTCAAGGTCGTCCTCGAGACCCTGCTCATGCTTTTCAGTCCTAACGAAGACAGTCCGGAGGCCTCGGAGGAGATTGCTCTGTGGCTTGCTGACGAATTCACACAGCGCCAGGAGAACATCACTCTCCTTCTAGATTTCCTCGACTCCACCGACTTCTACTCGAGGCTGTACTCTCTCCAGCTGCTAGCTGCCATTCTTTCTGCCCGAACCGAGCGCACAGAAGAATGCATTTTCACTGCCCCTCTGGGAATATCTCGCCTTGTCGCTGTGCTAGACGACAGCCGCGAGGCCGTCAGAAACGAAGCTATTACACTCCTCACCTTTCTTACACCCTCGTCGACCGATATTCAGAAACTCGTGGCATTTGAGAATGCCTTTGATCGACTCTTTGGCATCATTTCTGCAGAAGGTTCCCTTCCCGAAGGGGATCGTGTCGTGGAGGACTGCCTGATTCTAGTCGCAAACTTGCTCAGGAGGAACCCATCAAATCAGTCCCTGTTCCGCGAATCGGGCGGTATCCATCGTTTGTCTGTTTTACTAGAGGGTGCAGAGAAGGCTCAGCGGGTGGAAGCAGAGATTGCAGCGTGGGCGCAGGCCCAGCGTGACCGGAACATATACGCGCTTCTGGCTGTCGTTCGTCTGTTTCTAGTAGCAGGGGCTGTGGGGACGCCGCAGAACCAGCTTGCCTTTTGGCAACATGGCTTGCTGTTCCACGCCCTACAACTGGCCTTCAGCCATGTAGCCCAGCTTCCAATCAAGGCCGAGGTTGGTTGTCTCCCATCGTTGATCTTTGTGCTATCATGTTAAGAAGGTGCCTGCAGGCTCTAGCAACCTGCGCCGACATCATTAAGGGCAACCCGAGCCTCCAAGAAGGATTCGCGCAGCTTGAAGTCCCGTCTCCTCTCGAATCGCCTTCATCAGCCGGATCAGGACAAACCAATGGCGTCGTCAAGGTTTACGTGATTGATGGTCTCTTGGACCTCACCCTCAGCGTTCAGGATCTCGAGGCGTTCGATTTACGTTTAGCCGCGTGCGATTGTCTTAAGGCTTACTTCTACAATCATGCAGACATTCGCTTACATTTCCTGCGGAGAGCGATTGAGGGACATGGCATGGGAGCTGACGAGACGGCCAATGTCCTTACGGTGCTTTTGCGGCCGTCTTCAGACGCGGCCGTCGCTAATCCTTACCGAAGTTGGTTTGCCTCCACAATCATGATGCACCTGGTTTTTGATAACTCAAAGGCCAAAAACATGGTCATGGCTGTCTCAGAAGGCGATGCTGAAAGCGGAGAGGAAGTTGTCACGAGCATCCAGACCATTGCTGCTCATTTGATATCCGGCTTGAACCGGGACGAGGATAGCCGGGTTGTCGTTGGCTACCTTATGCTGCTCCTTTGCTGGCTGTTTGAGGACCTGGATGCGGTCAACGACTTTCTTGGAGAAGGGGCGAACACTCAAAGCCTTATACAGGCAGTGAATCATCCATACGCAACTGGCGACCTTGTTCAGGGTCTTTGCGCGATGCTGCTGGGCGTTCTATATGAGTTTTCGACAAAGGACTCACCAATTCCCCGAGCTGACCTTCATTCCATTCTCATTTCCCGGATGGGCCGCGAACGATACATCGACAAGCTATCTAAGTTGAGAAGCGACCCGCTGGTTAGGGATTTTGAGGTTATTCCCCAGAATCTTAGCAATTCCGGATTGGGTAGTCTGCCAGACGTTTACTTTGACTCGACATTTATCGACTTCTTCAAGGACAACTATAGCCGAATATTGCGTGGCATCGATCGAGATCCCGGCTTGGAAATTTCCGTAGTCAAGAATGGTGTCCAGACGGGGGTGTCCAGAGAGCTCGTGGACTCACTGCGAAGCCAATTAGCCGAAAAGCAGCAAGCTTTGCAAGAGGCTCAAGTCAACTTGGAGACGGTCAGTCGACATCTCGGCCAGGAACAAGCCGATCATCGGCGAACTCGAGAGACCACTGCCATGGAATTGGCCAGAATCAATCAAGTCAACGAAGGAATGCAAAGGCAACACGACGCAGAGCTACGGTAAGTCTCGACAATGAGTTTCCAGTGATGTCACTCACGAATCGATTATTTAGGAATCTGCAAAGTAAGATCACAAGCCTTCAGGAGGAACACAAAAAACAGATTGAGCAGACAAACCGCAATATTGAATCTCAAAAAGCGGCTCTGGAACAGCAATACAGCAAGCGATTAGAAGAGGAACAGCGAAGGGCAGCCACTCATGTCGCAGCTCTCGAGCAACAGAACAAGAGGCAAATTGAGGAAGTACAAAGAAACACAGCTTCCCGGGTTAGGGCGCTCGAGGGGGAGCTTGAAAAACAGGCTGAGCAAGCACGGCAGACCGCCAAAGCCCAGGCCGCCTCGCAGTCCGAGGAGCATCGCAAGCAGCTAGAGCAGGTACGCAAGACAGCCGAGTCGGACGCCGATCGTGTTCGCCACCGGGCGGAGGCGGACATGGCAGATCTCAAGGCCACCATAAGTCGTCTTGAGGTTGATCTCATGAAGGTGACTAAGTACCCACGATACTGCTTGAATGGGACGCTGACTCTTTCACAGGCCAAGAAGACCAAGGCGCAGGAGATTCAAGCCATTCGGGAGCAGCTTGAGAAGAAGGAGCATGACCAGGAGAATCTTGCCACTAAAGCAAACGCTCGTGTGGAGCAGCTCGAGAAGAACCTACGTGAGGCGCAAGTGAGGTTTACCCAGGTACGAGAGTTTACTGCCGAAACCTTGACATTGAGAGACATACATGTATTCTGACGTTGTACTCAGCACGACGTTACTATCAAGAAGGCTCAGGAGGATAGAAAGGCAACTCAGAACGAGCTTGATGACTTGCTCATGGTGTTTGGCGACCTAGAGGAGAAGGCAGCCAGGTACAAGGTGAGTCAGAAGCAAAGACATGAGCAAGCCTCTCGGACTAACGTAGTGCACAAAAGGCAAAACTCAAGGAGCTGGGAGAAGCAGTGTCTGATGGCGAAGAAGATGAAGATGAAGACAGCGGGGAGGAGGAGGATGAAGAAGAAGAAGAAGACGGACACGAAGACGACGACGATAACAACGACGACAAAGAAGACACCAAAAGCGATGATACAAAAAGCACGTCAAACGTATGATTCGTTAGCAGAATGCTTGTAAATCCTTCATCATGATCAGCTGCATGCACACGCGTGGCTTAGAGGGCATCGATACTTGAGAGTTCTATCTACTCCAAGGCTGAAGCTTTTTTCAAGTTGAGATTTAACTAAGCATCCACCTAGCTTGTTTGCCTCTGCCTGCTTGTGCGCATCCTGGCCCTCCTTTGCAGTATCATGTCATCTCATGGAAGATGGTACCACACTAGCGGAACTTGCGATTAACGTGCTGGCATATGGACAATCACCTAGCCGCGATCTAGCACGCGCCGCAAGAGGGAGGACATTATGTAGGCAGGATGAGAAGTCCATCTCGAGGATAAAGCCTCTGAACATTTAGCATCAGTCTCTGGCCTTTGTTCAAGGGTGACCTGCGTGTCGGCGATGAGGCTCAAAATCGCGGGGTTGGAGGCTGGTACTGATTCATCTGAGTTTCCACATTTGCGTCCTGTTGTCCTGGCCTGGTACTGTCCAAGTATTGCTGATAGTCAGCGCCCGGGGATTATTCTCGGGTGCCTTGAAGACAATGCGCCCAGAAATCTCGGTGCCGGCCGTGACACTAGCATTCCCCTCAAGATACTTATTCATCAGGAAACCCTGCTTCCAGTGAGTGTCAGGACCTGCAGGGCCGGTGGTGAAGGCCACCTCGCCAGGTCTAGTGACAATGGTCTCGCCGGCCTTGACCGGTAGATCTGCCGGGATCGAGTCGTTTCGAGAAGTCGTGAAGAAGATGTCAAACCAGGTCAAAAAACCGTCAAGTGACGGAATGTCCTTGGTCACCTTTGACTTCCACTGGGTCTCAAAATCTAGGTCCTCGATCTTGACGGTGTGTAGGTCAATGTATGAGATCTGTGAGGGGGTACCGCAGATGCAGTCCTCTGGCATGATCTCAATGCGAGCCTCATCGTAGATGCCCTCTTTCATTGACTTCATGTCAAAGCCATAGACGTCATCCCAGAAGGTAACAAAGTCGGTGATGTACTCTGGATCCGAGACGGGCGCCACCCAGATAGTGGAGATGCTCGGGGCGATGAGGCCGTCGGGCTTCAGGAAACGGTCTCTGGCAACGAGAACGCTGTTCATCATGGCCTCGTAAAGCAGGCAGTAGCCCATCCATTCGCTGATGATGATGTCAACTTGATCGACAGGAAGACTGATATCCTCGACCCTGCCTCTGATACAGGTAACCTTTTCGGTGAGGCCGTTGTTGAAGACGTTCTCGCGGGCCTTGTCGATGATATCGGACTTGTCAACGGCAAAGACCTGCTTCGCACCGGCCTTGGCACAGAACATGCTCAAAATGCCTGTCGTAGAAATCACGGTTTAGATATGAAGGGTCATAAAGCTGGCAGTCGCTTTTGGTGCGAGACGTACCGGTACCACAGCCAATATCTAGCACGATCTTGTCCTTGAACAGAGACTTGTTGTTGTAGACGAAATCGCGGTAAGAGTCTGTTCTAACTTTGTCCTTCAGCATCGTCTCGTGGATATCTGGGAAGGCACGTTAGCATACTAAGCAGCCGAAGTTCAGGATGAGCGTCGGCTACCGTTAGAGGCATATGATTCCCAGTAGTACTGAGACTCATCCTTCCGAACACCCTTATCGTCCGGATCACGAGGCTTCTCGCCCTGGGTTGGAACGGGCGTGTCTTCTCCCCAGCGCTGGTCAAGAGTCTGCTCAACAGCATTGCGGTACTTTGCGAACTGGGACTGAAGCTGTGCCAACTCTTCTTCAAGCTGAGCTTCCCGAGAGGCACCCCCTTGTGGCGCTTGCTGAAGCTGCCCTGACGTTTTATCGTCAAGATCCAGCTCCGTCAGAGCCATGATCAAGGCGTCGTCTTCAATTACAGGCTTCATGTAGCGCTCGTCAGCAATGTCGTCGACAGAGATAGTCTCGGGCAGAGCAGAGCCATCGTGAATATGCTGACGAACTATGTATGGGTCAGCAACCCTCAATCTTTAAGGAGGGGGTGATTGTTGACTCGATGTGAAGCATCTGCACTATGTATCAGGTCCTGGACTTACTGTAGTTGACAAGTTTGACGGTGCCAAAGAAGTCAAGACCAAGCCGACGGCGGATGGCGAGGAAGTCAAAATTGTGCTTTGTGCGGCAGTGACGCAGCATGGCATCGACGTCAGGAAAGACAGTATCGTCAAGCAAGGAAATGAAGGATTGTGCCTCCTCTTCTTCGGGCTCCGCGTCGTCCCAGTCAGACTCATCAGACGAGACATCGGAACCGGCGCGAGCACCGTTCTTGAGATCGTCTTGGGTCATGTTGGAAGGCTGAGTCGATATTTGCTCCTGGGACTTCTTCTCTTCCTTTCTCACCTTCAGATCGACCTGAATGGTTCGTGCTCCTTGACAAACAAAACAAGTGCAAGTGTGCAGGCCCCGGGCTTCCTCGTCGATGACTTATTTTCTTCGGGTATTCTTGGTGGCAATGCCTTGCTCAAGTTGATTTCACCTTGGAGTTGGGTGAGAGATTGAGTGAAGGGTTGGATATTTTCCTCCTTCTCTAAGCTTGTGGGACTGTGCTGGGGCCCAATAAAATAATTTGGAACCGTGGAAGGGTCCGGCAGGCACGCCGGCCGGCACCTACTGCATTCGCCGTCCAATGAAGCTGGGTGGACTACCTCCGTCCATGGGTGCCTTAGTTACCCTCTACCTAGGTGCCTATATTTACATTGGATTGGAAGGTTACCCTTGATAAAGTAGGTGAGTAGGTAAGAAGAGATGTTGTTAGACGCCGCCTTTTTCGATTTACCCCCCCCCCCCCCCCCCCCCCCCCCCCCCCCCCCCCTTCCCTTTTTTTTTTTTTTTTTTTTTTTTTTTTTTTTTTTTTTTTATCTTTCTCTTTTTTGTGTTTTTTTCATTATTGTTGGTGGTTGTCCCTTGGAAAAGTGGGGGGTGGAGGAAGAAGGGTGTTTTTTTGCCCCCCCCTTTTTTCTTTTTCCCCCCCCCCCCCCCCCCAACCCTTTTATTTTGTCGTAGGTCTTTCTTCCCTGATTTCTTCTTTTGATTGAAATTTGGTCAAATATTTTGCGTGCCCTTTCCTACCCCTCTGTGACTGCCTATTACCCCTCTACCCCTCCATTACCCCTCAAGTGGGTCACATTATGACCTGCCGCCCAAGTGAACAACGTTTAGATGTTCGTTATTACTGCTATCAGCAGTATGATCGCTAGTATCCTGTTCTTCTTCTACATCTTCATTTCTTCTTCATGATATATCTGCAACAGCCTAAGTAAGAGATCAAAAGGATAAAACAAGCCATAGGAAGCGTAGTGGTAACAGGACAGGAGGGGAATTGAGGCATTGGTTGACCTAACATTTTGGCACCCACAGCCTCCTCTCATCGTACTGTCTAATGTGATGATCAAATACGATACATAACAGCACCACAACAGCCAAATTGACTTCATTAGCCCAATGGAGAAAGAGAGAAAGGAAGGAGGGGGGGCCGGGGGGGGGGTTGACCCAGACGAGAACAAAAACCCACGGGTTGAATTTCTAAAGCATGTACATCCCTGGAGAGAAATAAACACTAGTGCATTCGTCTGCCTCCTACTTGCCATGACGACCACCTCGATATGGAAAATGTTGCTCGTGCCATTCTCTGCTGTTATCCAGGACTTCCTTCAATGCCCCAGTCTCTCGCTCGGCCTCCTCTATTCCTGTTCCTCATTCCAATCATTTTGGCCTCAGACACCTCGTATACCTTAGCCATGCGCACGTCGTTTCACACCTGCGCTTCTAGTAGTGAGGTACACCAATGCTTTGCAAAATGAGGTTGACGATGCTGAGAAATCCTTCACCGAGTATAAAGCCCTAGAACACAGCTTGCGTCAGCTAGCATCCCTATTCGCGTGTGGGCACCGTCCAGTACTCACTGATGCCAGCACAATCAATGGCGTGCTCGACTCGCCTCGTCTGGAGACCCAGTACCAGCTCAAAAGGCCGCCAACTGTGCGGGCCAGGGTGAATGATGGGACGTTATACATTCCTACCATCTCTAGGTCAGTCTTGCCCCGAACCTCTGATTTAGGGTAGATAATATTTTCAAGTCACACTTACCAACCGCCACGGCAATGCCTCCCGGCACAAGGGAACGCCAAGGCTTGCCAGTTACCATGGTCCTCACAATTGTCGTCAAGGCAAATATGATACCGAAGCCCATTGCCCACTCACGAGCCATGGGCGGCAAGCCTTTGCCCGTCACTAGCCTGGCTGTGAAGATCCATACGTATCCCGTTGGGACCTGGAAGAGATCTCCCGGGATCGTATAGACTCTGATATCGATCAGTCTCTGGAAAATCAATGGTATTGGCATTGTGACTCACGCCGTGTAGAGCTGGTACACGAAGGCACTGACCACAGCGCCTGCTGTTGCTCCAATCACTTGGCCCCAGAACTGGGCTCGAGGCGCGGCTCCTAAGAGGTGGCCTGTCTTGAGATCCTGCATCAAATCACCCGCTTGAAGAGCCCCCTAAGTCCGGCAAGTCAGCATCAATTCCAGTCAAATTAGTAGCGTAGCATCAAATGACATACGGCCTCGGACTAGAAAGCTCAGTTAGCGATTGCTTTGACTACGAAGTTGGAGGTTAGTAGACCACTTACCACTGCACCCGCAACTAAGTTGATAAGCACACTGGACTTGTGTGACTGGGGAATAATGAGTGCGAAGAACAATTGCGCAAGCTTACTGATGCCGGATACGGGGTTCAAATCCGTCTCACCGAGTGCTCGGACACCCATGATGCTGAGCAGTAGAGCCATTAGAACAGCAACGATCGTGGCGTAGAGGGGAACCAGGTCGCCGAAGACAATGTGTATAGTGGTGATGCAGAGCAGTATGGATAAGACCAGTCCCACGGCAACAAGCTTGTTGTCGATTTGTTGGTCTTCTGGTGCGTCTGCTTCGTCGGCGCGACCATCGCTGGCACTCGACGTCGAAAACCGACGGCGGACCATAGAGGGTTGCGCCTCATCAGACAGAAGCCGGGAGGTACTCGTCGCCTCTCCATCCTCATCGGTGTTCAGAGCAGTATACGTTGGGGCGGAATGTCGGCTGGCCCCAAAGTGCTTCTGCCAACCTAGCACACTTTGCTGCCACATACCTTTCACACCTTCATTGGCGACGTGCTGGGCCAAGGGCCGGAAAGCAATGTAACTGAGGCTGACAATGGCATCCGCTAGCATAATTGCCAGGGAGATCCACACTATCCAGCCCTTGCTGCCTGTCTCCCAGTCGTCGATGGAACCGGGTGCCCATCCCCGATACTTGGCTAGCGGAGAGAGAAACCCCCATCCTATCGCGGCTCCCAGCAGCATGTGCAAAGTCGTCTCAGGACCCATGATAATGCCCTGGCCAATATAGGCCGGGCTTGGGTTCAGTGTCCAAAGCCAAGTGCCTGCGGCACCGGTGCCAAATATAGGGATACTTCGCATTGCGGGCAAAAAGTAGGAAGACAAAGTGTACAAGCCCGATATTCCAAAGCATATGAGAAGTAGTCTCACATTTCGGGCCCAATCGTCCTGAGAGCGACTCTCGAGGCTCTCAGGAGCATTTTCGGGATCTGTAACGTTGTGGCTACGGTCAGACTCCAGTGTCAAATCCGGCTTCGAGTCATGATCCGGTACGAGACTCGCGAAGCCCCCTGATACGGCGTCTGGGCCGGCCTTCCGCGTCTGACCATGAAGGACCCCGATGAGAACGGCAGTACTGAACCCGCTAGGGAAACGGAGCCTTTCTCGGATGATAACTTGTCGGCGACTGGCATTGGAGGTTAGACTGAAGGTCGATGAGCAAGTTTCCTGCAGCCAACTCACAGTGGGACAGCAAAGACAACACCAAAGTAACAGAGGCCAAGAGACCATATGATCAACTTCCACAGGGAGATGTTGAGAGGCCCCTGTTCCTCAGGAGCCAAGAGATAGTTCATGGCGGGAATCTAAAGGAGGAAAAGTGACAGGTCAGCCATTGACCTCGTCTGGTTCATTGCATCAAGTTGCGGAGAGAAGTAACAATGCCCGGGGCATGGGGGACATACTACACCGACAAATCCGCAGCCAAGTGGCATAATGGCCATGCTTCCAGCCACAGTCTGCACGAGGACATTCTCGACAGGACTGAATGGGAATCGCAGGTGCCTAGACAGGACCTTGAATATGCCGAAACCCATCAGACTAGCCGGCATAGTCATGGTGCTCACCCAACCCGTCTGCAATCCAAAATACATATTGGAGAAGCAAATGACCAAGCCGACCAGCAGGCCAACTGCAACACCACGAAATGTGAAGCTGCGGCCGTGGATGACGGGCCTTCGCTCGGGAGCATTCTCAGGGTGAGAGGCATAAGGAACTGGGGTGTGGCTACTGCTGCTGACAGTATTGTGAACGTCGCCATCGGCATCGTCGCGGTATCCCCGATCAGGCGCCATGATCGATGCCGTACACTCTGACTGGGCAGTATCGTAATGTGAGAATGTCGATTAGAATGTCTAGAAGCGAGGGATTCGAAGGCGTTTACAATCTTGCTACTGTACGCGTCAAGGGCGTGCTGGTCAACCTGGCATTTATGTCGTTACTCGTCCAGCGGACGTGTGCATGAGAGTGCCTGTGGAGAACTAGAGCTGCAGGGCGAGGGTGAGTTGAGGTGGCGTTGGTTTGTTGTTCCAGCTTCCTTTCGCTCAAACAAAAGTTGAGAGGGAACTTCGTGCGCAATGAAACAACATAGAGGCTGGTGATCAATTACATAAGACAACAAGCGTATGGACATAAAAGGCGACGTTCCCCTCACCGCTGCATGCATGAAGTCGAGATATGGGATCCGTAATTGAATCGTTATCTTCTGGACCCCCCTGCACGATGAAGGACTGCCTTACCAACTACTGCGTAATGACAATGTTCCAATGAACATTGGATCGGGGGCTGCGCGACTCGCCTTTGTACGGAGTACCTAAGGTACCTAATCAATGGAACATCAAATAAGAGCACTAGGCCAGTCCCGGTGCTGGTCCGGACGGAGTTCGGCAACAATTGCGGATGACGTGCTCAGACGGGACTGGAGAAATAGTGACTCTGATTAGTAAGCGACAAGCCCCTCTACTCATGTGGCCGTCGCTGAGTTCTGATCCCCAATCTGTGAGTGATCACATCACCTTGAAAGTCTTGAAAACATCATCTCCCCCCGCATACATTCATATTTTACGAGATAATAGCTGCATATCGTACATCATGTCCTATTGCATTGAAGTGGAAGCGGTTTCTTTTGT